GGCCTGGTTTACCACAACCACACGCACGCTTGCGTCGCTCTCCTCAGACCGGTTTGTTCAGTCTTCCGGGGGCAATTGGCAACATGATGGGCACTAATGCTCAGAGGGCAGCAGCACCAGCGGCGTCCGCCACGGCTGATCTGTCGCAAATGTTAGCTGGCGCCAGTCCCGTCGATCAGATGCTTAACACTGCGCAAAATTATATGGGTAAAGTAAATAATAATAATAATTTGTATCTATGCTAGATTTATATATAGAATTGCAGTTAGGAAATTTAGATACAGTGAAAGAAATTATTAGACAAAATAAACCGCAACCTGTATAAATTGTTCATGTAAAATATGCATATTTTTAATACTTTGTTTGCAAGTAAATGAATTTATATTGTGCATATATAAAACTTTTTAGGTTGATATTTTGTTATTTATAAATATTTTTATATCAATGAAATGTATTGTCTACAAATGATTTTTGATGTACCTACTAATATGCTTTGAACAGTCAATAAACATTCTGTAAACTCCGATATAGGTACAAACTGCATATTAAATAATACATACAGCTAGATTTGTGCAATAAAGACACAGAAAAATATTATTTGGCGATATGAGAAGTCATAAACATACTACCTGGAATGAGGTAGTTCTCATATGAAAATTACGATTTTCGCCGAACATACTACGAAACATTTGAACGTAACAAAATCATGATTTAAGATGACTAAAATATAATTAATGTCATTAATACTTTTTTTCTAACACAGCAAATAATAAGCAATTAGAATTTAAGATAAAAACATATGTTTAAAATTTAAATTTATAAAATATCAATTTATACTACTAGAATTTACTGGATGCAATGAGTTTCTGATAAAATTAAATTCGGATATGTAAAGCAGTCAAAATTTTGCTAAAATTTAGCAAAATATTAGACTCGCTTATATTAGATAGATGATTATATAGGGTTACAAAAAAAGTAGTCTAAATTGAGTGTGCATGTGCGGCATATGTTTTCTAATGTAGTGTCTAAAGTCAAAATTGGGGGTCAAAGACAAAAAATTAAAATAAACGACAAAATCTGATCTTGTAATTCTTCTCTATTATAATTAAAATCTTATAATTTCTGTCGTTTTCTGGCCCTTTTTACCTTAACAGACTATTAAGTTTCAATTAAACGATCTTTTGAATTGTTTTGTATAATTCAGCAGTAATTTGCAAACACATTTACTTCCTATTGCCTCTGGATATTCATACTTGCAATTGAATATGTGAAAATATGAGTAAAATTTACTTCTGTAATTAACAAAAAAAGACTTAATAGATCATTCTAGTCAATTCATTCAAGGGGACGTCCATTAATCACGTGAGCGAGTTTTTACGGATTTTTAGACCCCCCCTCCCCCTTGGTGACACAAGGTAATAATTACGCCACCAAACATTACGTGTATTTTAATAAAAACCTCACGTGATTAATGGACGCTCCCCAATCTATACTCAATAGTCATATAATAAGGTAAAAAGGGCCAGGAAATGACAGAAATTATGAGATTTTAATTCTAATGGAGAAGAATCACAAGATCAGACATTTTGTCGTTTATTTTTAATTATCATGCAGAAGAATTACTAAATCATAATTTTTTTTGTTTTTCATTTTTCCTCGATTTTTTGCCATATAACCCACAGTTTAGATCGTGTATATTGGAAAACATAAGCCGCACACCAAATACAAACAACTTTTTTGTGGACTTGTGTTACTATTAAATTAGATAGATGATTCTTAACATGTATGTGTTGTGTTGAGCTCCCGAAAGTCCAACAAAAGTTAAGTTTTTTAAACAAAAAAGATCTATTGTCGACGTTTCGAGACATGATCTTGATCAGATAATTAACAAACTAAAGAAATAATAATTTTAAAAGAATATATACAGTAAAATCTCGCTAATCCAACACTATGAAAAACCAGAGTGTCGAATTAGTGGTATGTTCAAATTACTGGATTATGGTAGAAAAATCATGAGATATTGGAAATAGCGGAAAAAATCCAGCTCATTTCCACTAAATTGTCCAGCTCTTCGATAGCTGGGGGTCCGACTATTAGAAGTGTCGGACTATGGAAGTATCGGATTAGCGAGATTCTACTATGTATATATATATATATATATATATATATATATATATAAATATCTTATTTTATGAAGGTATGTTGGGTTTTCCGACCTCTGGCGCAACAGCAAATGCCCAATCTGTTTCTGGACTTGGAATGAGTACAGCATCCGCCAATGCACAAAGTTTTGGGCAAAACTTAGGCGTCATGGGCGTACCCTATATTACAAATATATATCAACGAAGTCCGTATGGATATGGTTTATATTCTAACGCACATACGTACAGAGTTCGCATTCCCTACAATACAGGTACATAATTGTAAATCGAGAAGTTTTCTTATTGATTTCGCATAACAACCGATATTAAAAAAAAACGTTTGTCGTATTTTTATTTGTATATGATTTTTTATAAACTTTTATGTATTTTGATGACACATCTTTCCAAACCGTTGTTTCAATATTCATCATTGTACGCAGAATTAGTAGTAATTATATATCATTATTCTTTGAAGATTTTATGTTACAGGTAAGCACTTTAATTGAGCATGAATAAATCATTGAGCACCAAGAACAGCTTCAACTAACTAGCATAAAATTAGAGAGTGCGTTTGGTAATTCATAAAATTCGAGTGAATTTAAAATCACAAATATAATTTTCTATGGTATTTACAATTAAATTTTCAAGTCATGATTCTAAAGTAACGGTCTCTACACAGTATTGCTATCGTGTTTTCAAACTAATGGGCCGATTCTATCGTAAAATAGACCAATGTTACAGCTAAGCCATGTTACGTAACATTTTTCATATAAAATGGTACTAAAAACTGTCAAATGCTATGTGGTTGCTGTGCAGCCAGGCGTTTAAACGCACAAATATCCAAAAAAATCTTATCATCTGCATGTTTGTGATGTGGTATAATAACATACAAGTGGGAGTGAAGTTGCATTTTATATATAATACGCCTGACTGCGCAGCAAATACATAGCATTTTGACAGTTTTTAATACCACTTCATATGAAAACTGCTACGTAATAAACCTTGCCATAACATTGGTTTATTTTACGGCAGAATCGGCGCATAATTTGTTACACCAATAGACATTTAGAAGGCGGTCAAAAATATTGTGAGAAATTGAATTTATATTTTAACTATAAAAAATGGCTTGATCGATCAATTCACCAAACTGAAAAAAATTATAAAGTCATATTATTCAATCCGTTTTTGAATTTTCAAAACTCGTTCATGTTCTTTCATGCAAAGTAGTAAAGTAAAATGATATCAATAATTTGTTCAGTATATTTCTTAATCAATATTGCATTCTTTTGTTGGTGCCAACAATACAATTTTATTTTCAGCAATTTACTTTTTTCTGTGACCGCATCTCACTGCTGAAATATCTTTGATCATTAACATCCAATATAAAATTGATTTTGTATCAAATTTAAAACCAGTAGAATTCTACATTCTCTTTAGCACATTTCATTGAACAATAATTTTTTGTCGTTCTTTCATAAACTATTGAGTATATAAGTCATTTATATTATAAGTAAGAAAAATATATTAAATGAATGCTTTAACAGAAAATCGTCATTATACTATTGCAGATTATATGCATCGCAATTTTAATTTTATTCAAATTTGGAGTTATGATAAACTGTCGACTAATATTCAAAAATTTAAATTATCAGTTTACCAAGGGACTGGTATTTACAACGGCCTCGGTTTAAGTTCTGGTTCTTCCGCCAGTGCTCAAAGTTTTGGACAAAGCGGTTTGACTGGAGGTGTAAGTGGATCCACAGCAAATGCACAAAGCTTTGGACAGACTGGACAAACAATATATCCTGGAAATTTGGGTTATGCTGCAGGAATGTATCCTTATGCCGCCCTTACTAATATGAAAAGTGGTACATCATCGAGCGCTCAATCTTCCACAGTTGGTCAAGGCGGAGGCAGTGTCAGCACGGCCCAAGCACAATCCAATAGTGTTAGTGGACTTTTAGGCTTTTAAGTAAGGTCAAAGAATATTTTTATTCCGTACAAAACGTATCTTTTAATCATTTTTATCTTCATCTGAATGTCATTTAGCTTTTACAATTTTAGAGGTAATGCATTATTTTATACATATTTATTTCAATTATTAATATCTTTATATTTATTATAAGAATTATAAAATTATGAAAAATTATAACGTATTATTTACAATAATATAATTAGTTTCTTTCACAGGTACTCTATATATACATAAATATATACATATATATATGTGTATATATATATATATATATATATATATATATATATATATATAATGTGTGTGCGTGTTGTTTTGACAACAAATATTTATATAATATATAATATTTCACGTAAACGACCATTTGAATTCAACCAGATAATATAAAATAAAATTATAAAGGTAAAAATAATTTAATGAAAGTTTTTAGAACTAGCATTCATAAAAATATGAATAAAAATTAAATTATTAAAGAAAAAATTGTACTTTTAAAAGCATGTAGATACATATGAAATTCATTCTATCAACCGATACTCAGATAACAATCATCTTCTTCTTTTAATTACAATTTATTTATACTCAAAACCTGTTGACCTTCCACAAATACATATTGGCAAGAATAGATATATATATATATATATATATATATATATATATATATATACCTGGTAAATTTATTTTTGTTAGCAAAAGCACACATTGTATTTAAAACTTTTATTTAAATATTTTAAGTTATTTTATATACAAAATATGACAATAGATAATATTTATTATTATTAATAAAATTTAATAAAAACATATTTAATCCTAATTATTAAAGATTTTATAAATGAGCAGTCTTTAATCAATATTATACTGTAGTTATACTTTAAACGCTTTTTACTTTAGAGAGAGCGAATAAGAACATCAGGTAGATCTTGGACATGGCCATGATTTGGATTTTCGTAGTTTTCGCTGTGCGTGGGGCCACCAAAACTTGAGCTTGATGATTGCGATTTAGACGAAGAGAATGACTGATTTCCTCCTCCAAAACTTTGGCTACCCGATTGTGAAGATGAGCTGCTCTGCGACCCTGCGTTACCGTGTCCGCCGGCGGAACTATTACTTTGAGAAGCAGAGGAACTTTGTGAACCCGAACCTCCACCATTAAAGAAACTTTCACTATTCGAAGAAGATTCGCTGCCTGACTGAGCACCACCACCATAATTTAAATTGGCTCCATTAGTAAAACTTTCGCTTTTTGATGAAGATTTGCTACCAGATGATGAACCTCCGTGAGCAGATGAACCACTCTGTGAATGTGAAGAACTTCCAGAATTTGAGCTACTACCGGATCCGTGATTGTTTCCAAAGCCAATATCATGTCCACCATGACCAAACATTTCTTCATTTCCTTTTCCAGTATTAAATGAAAAATCTTTATTGCCCATTAGTATGTAAGTACCGGGTCCTTCACCTCGGCCGCCATAATTTCCTTGATGAAAATCGCCTTGTCCCTGGAATTGCCCTTGGTTATAACCCCCTTGTTCTTGGAAATGATGCCCTTTGTGTCCACTTTGCTCTTGGAATTGAAACTGGCCTTGACCTTGTCCTTGAACCTGATACCCTCCGCCACCTCCATGGCCATGAGGAACGGCCTGTATTTGGATATCTCCACCATGACCACCATATTGATGACCTCCATGACCTTTATGTCCGTGCGCATAACTTTGCCCGTGCCCTTGGAAATCACCCTGCAATCCGCCTTGCACTCCAAAAGAGCCCTGTAATACACCTTCCTTCTGGAAACCTCCGCCATGGCCAATTTGAATAGTTTTGTGCGCTTGTTTGCGCCCAATGAAACTAAGTCCTAAATCACCAATACCACCAATAGCCGATCCGATATTTGCACCAATATTGGATAAGATTGGCCTTCTTGCACCGTGTTCTACGTATTTTTCACTCTGAAAGCCCACACCACCACCGTAATGACCCTGGCTTTGTAATTGCCCGCCGCCGTGTAAATCGCCATTTATTTGTCCACCCCCATAACTTCCAGCATTGGCGGCCGACTGGGCTCCGCTTTGAGCATTAGTGTATCTATCATTATTATTAGCAAATCCCTGGGATTGAGATCCAGCATTTGCATGTGAAACTGAACCAGGGCCGCCGTTTGCAGAACTCGACGAATGTGAATGCGATAATGAACTCGATATGCTTAATTTGCCAATATTTAAACCATGGCTGATTGAATCACTACTTGCACTCGCTTGTGATCCTGAACCAGATTCTCGGTGAAATAATCCTAAAGGATCAAGCACTTGCCGAAGACGTGCTGTAAGACAAAAATGATAATAAATTAGTTTATTAATATTAAAATTTAAATTTAACTGTTAATACAAATATTTAATAAGAACTTGTACTAATTTATATGGCTTATAAAAAATGAAATAAGCAGAAAAAAATATAAATATCTCTATTATAATAATAACAAAAAATTAATTATGTACTTACATCGTCCATCAGCGCAACTGCTATCTATCAACAACAGTAGTGCACAAAATAATACAGCTTTATTAAACATTATCCACATCTCGTCTTTAAAACGTACACAAACCACAAAAGCTCAGCAACAAATATTGTTTATTGTTCTCACTTTGATATCACAATTACCACTGACTGATGAGCGTTCCGTGTATCGATGTTTATAAATAAACCCCGCTACCGGATACAAAAGCGATAGCCAACGATCAACGTCGGAAATCCATGAACAATTTGTTGAATGCATACAGGTTTCCCCTGGGGTACTCGCGGAAACACCGGACCCTTGGCGGTTCACGAGAATCGCGGCTGGAGAGTACCCCTACGTCACCAATTCAATTCACATGTGACAATCGGATGTAAAAGCCGGTGGCGTCTACTAATCAAATCATCACGTCAAATTATCTGCCTATGACATAATACAACCGCAGAATTCATGTATTATGCATTTCTTGGTCGAAACATTATTTTAATTGTGTAATCGGAAGCTTACTTGATAACACTGCGGATAAAACGCTGTTTATGTTTCAATATACGTTTTATTTTAAAATTTATTTTTGATGTGGTGACCGTTAACCCGAATCTGTATTATTAATTAAATCTTTGATAAATCTTATCTGTTATGTTTAAAATAGAAGAATATTGCTTAATTACATGGTAAAACCATGTTTTACATAAGTTATCTTAAATTCATAAATAATGGCTAAACTTACATACACACATTATATATATATATATATATATATATATATATGTGTGTATATATATATATATATATATATATATATTTTAACAAAGTCTACTAATCGGGCATAACATCAATAAAAAACATGAATTTCTTTTAAAAATTTATTTTACATCAATACATTTCGGCGATAATCCTAGCCTTCATTCAGTGGAAACTTAAAATAAAATGAAACTAAAACAATTGAATTGGAGTAAAAAGAAGAAAAAAAAAAATAAAAAGAGTAAATAGAAATAGTGTTAAATTAGGAGACTTTAATAATCCTTGGTATCAGAATATGGTAATGCACTACACTACTTAATATAAACATTAAACTTGTAACTAAACAATATTTCACAAAATACTAATTTAAAAAAATCACGAATAGATAGTGTGTAATATATGTGTTGTTCGTAGAAAATCTACGAACTGTTAAAATCTTCTAATTTAACACTAAGCTAAGATTAACTAATGTAAAAACTATTTAATCTTTTTTTTCGCAATTCAATCAAAGTTTTGTATGGAAATAGCATGGAAAAATTTTCAAAAATTTAAAAAATGATTTTTAGATGTAATGTAGCGAACAAATGAATGAATAAAACTCATTCATTTGTCGCTAAGTTATACCTAAAACATTTTTTTTAAATTTTCAAAATTTTTTCCATGCTCTTTCCATACAAACTTTGATTGAACTGCGCTCTATCTAAACGTTAATATTAAGAGCTAAAACTTTCAGAGAATTGTTTTTTATCTATTTGGAACCATTTGAGCCCCTGGGAGCAAGGAAATTCGAAAATGACCATTTTAAGGACCACCCTAATATATATATATATATATATATATATATATATATATATATTATATATATACTAACTCGCCGGAAAAACCTTGTTTAGCCATGAAAAATATTTCTAGAAAATTTATAGTATAAAAAGACTAACGAATGAATGTAGAAGTATGTATATAAGTAAATGGGCAGCTAGACAAATTAAATTGATTATTTACCCACTGCGACGCAAGCCACATATTAATGGTAATTGTAAGTGCCAGCCCAATATGAAACTGATTTCATTTAAATTAAATTCATACATTTTTATATTCGCGGTTTTAATATATTATTACTGCGCTTTTTATTAATTCGCTAATTAGTGAATTTCGAAACAAAATCCTAACTCTTTTCTTTTAATTATATTGTGACATGCTTAGCAAATCGAGGAGGATTTCAAAAACTCTGGAAAAATTTAGAGCCTTTTCATAGGTTTGTATGGTATCTAATTTCATCTTAAAAACTATATTATATTCATTAATACTCCAATTCAATTTTAATATTCAATTTCTACTTTTTTTATAAAATTGCTTTTACTGCAAAAAATATTTATAGAATATGATAACTTTAATTTTACCTCAAAATTAAAAAAATGTGTTACGGTTGTACAACACTTGCTAGAAATAAATTGGTTTTTAGAGTGAAATGTAAGGCTTTCCATAAGCTCGCCAAAATCTAAATTACAATTGAATCAAAAATATTCCTTGACTGAACGCGAAATGAAAATTAATCGATTACTAAAATGACTATTACGAAGTAGATGCTCGTGATTGGAGGGTGAAAATTTATTCCAAAGCTAAATAAAAATTCTTAAGGGTGGCAACCCTTATCTTTCGGGGATCAAAATTAGATGTTTCAATTTTCAGTCACACTGAAAGTTATTACATAAATCATAAAAATCGGTCAAGCCGTTTTGGAGAAGTATTGCAACAAATATCATGACATGAAATTTATTTATATATATATATATATATATATATATATATATATTATACATACGGCGAGATCATAACGCGGTGGCAGGTCAAGCTCGCGCTCCGGGCAAGTTAATATTATGATATCCATTTACACCTGAAAATATAGATTCTAATTGAAAATAGCCCTTTCAGCACTGTAGTAATTTGAGTTAGAGTTTAACTCAACGTACAAACCTGCCCTCAGGTGCAGCGCCCATTTATTACATATTAGATATTGTATAAAGGGTGTCCCAGACCTTTGACGTCGAGACTAAATGTGATGGTAGTATTGACCTTAACTATCCTAAAAAATGAAAAAAACAAATTAAAATTGTGTGGAAATTTTGAGCTTTTAAGTGCAACCACAGATAAACTAGCCTATAAAATAACCAAATTGTACATAAATACAGAGTACTCTGTACATAAATGTAGTTTTATAATTATTAACTCAATATATCTGTAAGACCTATAATAACGTATCTAAAAAAAACTTTTGGTTTGTTGTCTTATTATTTTTTACTATGTTCCTAAAAAAGTTTATCACGGTTACGATTCAAATATTTAATTGAACAACATTAATAAAAATTAATAAAAATTAACCGAAATATGGGCATAATTTCACCCATATAAAAACAAAGTGCAACCCAGAGTGATTTGGTGAGAGTATGATCCGATATTGTGGTTAACTTTTATTAGTTTTGGTCATTTAAAGTTTTGAACCGTAACCGTGATTAACATTTCTAGGACCACAGTCAAAATTGATTTATGCAAAACCCAAAGGAGCTATAAACCCAGTCTGATATAGTTATAATTGGTACTGAAAAATGATGGAAAAAACATAAAAAACTAACTTTTTTTAATTTGCTAATCTTTATTTTTATTGTGTTTTGTTTGTTAGTTATTTGTAGTGTTTTTCCTGGTATGAAATGCTCAATTATTACACAAGTAGTTTCATTTGTTTATATTTATTTGATTTTTAGTTCAATGGTTTAGTTTAGTTCAGTTCTTTATTAAATAAATATTTTTAACTTTTAATAATTAAGTAACACTCTGTATCATATATTTTGCCTTAAAATTAATTTCGTATGTATTTATTTATTTTATTGTACTCGTACATTTTCCAAATTTCATGCATCAATTGATTTTCACTTCCAAGCTGTATCTTCCGCATAGAATTTGGAAATATATTTACATTTTATCATTTAACAGATATTATTTGAATGGGCTATTAAACCCAGAAATGACCTTTTTCTTTCATATGTGCTATTGTTATAAGAATTCATAACAACGATTCCTTGAAATGTCTAATATCAATTAACTTTAAAATGACATGTTTCATGCGTGTGTTCCTCGACTTTTACTTGTTTTGAAACGAAACCAGTTTTGGATATTATAATTATTCATTATTTACTACAATGCATATTCATAGATCTATTTATATTTCATTGAGAGGTTGGATATTGAGATAGAGCAACAGTGTTTAATAAAGAAAAAAAAATACATTATGGTTACCAAAATCTTGCTTAAGCCTAAAGAAAATCAAGGAATTTAATTTTCATTCACACATAGCATGCGATAAACGCATGCTAAATTCATATTCAATAGCAAAATCTTTGTACAATGAAAATGTTAGAGATCAAGTGATTGAAATTTTTGGCATTTATTATGAAATAGTACATAAAACTATGGTGAATTTATACATTAAAAACAAATTAAGAAACTAGTGGTGTATGGCATCGTGCCTTAAGGCAAATTGTTAAGGAACCAAAAATTATATTTTGTAAAAAAGATTTTTTTTAAACTTTGAAAAAATTAGATATTAGAAAAAATTTTGCAAAAAAAAACTTTTGGAAAGAAATGTTATTTTTATTTTGAAATATTTTGAAAATTTTGAACTGTTTTTCAAAGCAATCGCACTACTTTAGCTGCATTGAGATAAATTATCGAAGCGCGTAGGCGCCGCGTCGCCTAAATGTTGAGAAACCTTTGAAACGTAAAGTTATATAAAAATTTTAATTTTCGATTTTTATAACTTACCCTACGGGTAGTTAAATAATTAGTCCAGCAATAGACAAATTTTAGGATTTTTGAATTAACAGATTGTATATATCTATCGATAAGAATTCTAATAATTTATTATAGGGTAGAACGGGGCAAGAAAATCCAATATGATTTGAGCAATTACATTGCGAAAACCAAGCCAAGAGTATATTGCAACAAATAGCACATATCAAACAAACAACTCTCTGACTATATTCAGTAAAACCCTCAATTAATTCATATTTGCAGAAATGCTGTTTTTCTAAAATGTGTCACCTGGTTTGGGGTAAAAACCCCAAATTCGGGGTAGAATGGGATAGACAGGTAGCAAACATATCCAATGTCTTATTTTCAATTTTAAAGAGATTTTACGAAATGATAGCTACATTGTTTGCTACATGGAGATAACGCTGCATATAACCCTGATCTGATTTCGTCAGAAATATTCATCAACAAAGTTGAAATAACTATTTATTTAATTTAACTTTTGTTAAATTGTTTTTTAG